GCTATGAGAGCAACTGTCCATGGAGTGACCAAGTATTACATCTCAACGGTTTTACCAGAGAGATTGATTCTGAGGACTAAGATGGAAGCGGACGTCGAACGTGTTCGACAACGCAGAGAAGCAGCGATCCAAGTGAACAACACTCGAGAAGAACCGAAGAAGGATTGCCCATAACTACAAGAAGGGTGATCACGTTCTGATCAAGAGCAGTTCGATGGATCCGAAGATGCAACTCAACGTTGGCCCTTTCAAGGTAGTGAGTTTCAACAAAGCATCAGGAACTCTTCATATTCAGCGAAGGAACTACATCGAGCCTAAAATCCACAGAAATTCAATGAGGGAAAGTCTGTGTTGCACATTCAATAAGAGCGCACTTGATTTTAGACGTACCTCGTAACAGTAGTGGTAGCGATAGCAGTAGAGACTGTAGCGGTAGAGATAGATCTATCACGATCTTCATCAATTGTGGTCTCCTCTTGTGGTCCGATGATCATCTTTGACCGTTTGCACTCTGGTCGCGACGCACCGGAGTCACGATTGCACCAGACAGAACTGATAGGATTCAGAGTCATAAGTGTAGATCAGAGTATTTACGTAGCGAGTACCGGTCATTGTGGTGGAGAGTTTCCTCTAAGTCCTGTCGCGATTCCTTTGGGAAATCGCGGTCTGGCCGCCTGCCGGCGGCCTAATCCAGTCGCGACAAGTCGCGCTTCGTGCGACTTCCTAGAATTTTCAGTCTTCTTGAGGGGAAAGTCTTGCTAGACATGATTACTGTTTTCATATCACCCACAGCGACATCTCGGAAGGCGGTTGCCATGCCTGTCCTTGAGAACCTTGGAAGAGAGGCAAGCGCTACAAGTATCGGTGCGAGGAGTTAGCCAAGGGGCAGTTCCCCAATACTAATCGATGATGCTGATTGAATTCCCAGGACTCTCTACAATCTATTTGTTGTGGGGTGTACCGATAGTATCGATAGTCACTGGTTGGAAAGATCTTTTTACAGCTGTTGTCGGTTGCTCGAGATTCCACGGCGCGCAAGCTCTATTCCACGATGAACTTCCGACAGTAGACGTCACCCTCAAAGTTGACGCCACCAAAGATTCAACGAAGTGGTACCATTCAACAAACGGAGTTGCCACCGGTCTTATCTGTCTATTGCAAAGATAGGTTTCTTCGAAACTTTAGAAGGACACAATCCAAATAACTTCTCACTCTTTTTTGTGTACCGGTAGAGCACTACAGTATCGTAGTAGCACCACCATGCCAAAAGACGAAGATGAGTCTCCCATCCGTCGCCGCCGTCGGCGTACATCGATCTTGATGGACGACGATGAGCTGCACGAACTAAGCGAGAGTTATGATGCAGCAGCCGAAGAGGAGGAAGAAGTTGGGTGCTCTGGAACAAGAAGATGATGACGACGATGACGACAAGCACGTCAAGTACGCCAAGCAACGAAAGGCGTCCCTGATGGCCAAGGGAGTGGTTCAGAAACGTCGACGATCTTCAACGCTCAGCGAAGCCAGCGACAGCGAACACAGTTTGACCCAACGAGCATTGGACAGTTTCCGTCATACGGCCGTTCTCTCGTTGAAATCCAACCGTGTCGATGCCTTTTTGGCAGCGCTGGGATGTGCCGGCAGTCTGGCATTGCTGCAATATTGGAGCGTCACGTTTCCTGCTTTTGCCCTCACGCACAGTTGTTTGGTCTCCAGTTCCATCAAGTTTTTCTTCAATGAGAATCCACCGTCGTTGCGAGCGTTTTGGCAATCCAGTATCATGGGGTTGGTGACAGGAATCACACTCCACTTTGTACCCACGCTTTGTGGTCACTATACCCGACATGTATTCCTATTTGTCACCGTCTTGTACTGGAAGTTGCAAGGAGGACTCTGGTCGGCCGCCAATACACTCGCCATGACGGTAGCCGACGACTCGGGAGGTTGGACGACTATGATCCCCACCACATTCATGATCAATCAATATTATTTCATGAGCAGCAGCAATGACAACGACAACGACACCAACAGCAATATCACCGACACTACTAGCAGTAATGGTCAGCCACTATCCGAGTCCACAGCAGACGACGTATTCCCCTGGAAGTTTGTCTTGCTACCCTACTTAAGCGGCCACTTGATTCTCTACACATTGGCCACACTCTTGTCCATGATTCGCACCCGTGTCCGGATTACTCTGATTCGACAAGAATTCATTTCCAAAGAAGTCTTTGGTGCTGGCACTAGTACAAGTATGAGTATTGTCTGTGGCAAAGAACGACGCAAACGATTGTGGCAACTCTTTCAACGCATGGATACCAGTGGCGATGGACAACTCGATGCCGTGGAATTACAAGTCGCCTTGCGAGCCGCCACAGGCACGGAAATTAGCATGGCCGATACCAATCTCATGATTCGAGCCGTCGATAGCGATGGAAATGGAACGGTCGATTTTGATGAATTCTGTGCGTCCATTGATAAATTGTGGATACAGTTGATAGAACGAATGAATGAAAATGAATGATAGAATGATACAGTAGAGCGAATGACTTTATGAATCAATAATGAATGAATGCAGGAAGCACAAATTGAAAGTGAGGAGGTAGAAGGAATTTAGAATCTATACAAATTAACTATAAGCAATGCCTGCTTATTTTTAAAAATACACACAAAAAACTGCAGCAAACTCGGAGCAACCATAACCAAATCGATGAGTGTCGTCGTGCCGATACAGCGCCAGGGGGAAGCATGATGATCGAGATCAGCCACCTGGTCAAGAAAACAGTAATCTACATATAGCAACAATTCATGGAATCAGTTATCGATCCAAACCCATCCCTGTCACGCCAAGTGCTCCATCTTGTCTTTACGAGGTCCGTGAAGGAGCTGTCGAATCATGTAGCTCTGCGTATCCAGAGCCCTTTCCATTCTGTCAATTTTAGCTTCCAGAGCGTTTTGCTTGGCAACCATTTCCACGTAGTTGAACTCTGCCGGAACCACAGCACGAGGATTTTCGCTATCGTCACAATTTTCCTCGCTATCGTCACAATTTTCCTCGACATTGCTTGCAGAATCCGCCTTGACACCATCTCTTGCGGATTCCTCCTTACAATCTCGGACCACAAAAGTATTGGCCCGTGGTGGCATTCCAATCACTGGTCCATTTGTCCTGTTTGTCACCTTTTCATACACCTGACCCTCCCTATGAAACCAATTCATCTTCTGTGCATAGTGGGTCAGAAAACTCACCAATACAGCAACAGCCATGGCTCCATAATGAATTATGAAGGTTCCAGCCATCTGCCGAAGTGTCAGCGTTTCTGCATCGATGTCGTCATCTTCTGCTGTTGACCCGCCCGCTCCCCTCCCACCAGCCTTTAGTTGTCGATGTCTTGGTCCGTCACCATCTCGAGGTTTCATTGTCGGCTGGTTTCTCCTAGACTGAAGACGTCGATCCCACTGGCCTTGCTCATCTTCCTCGTACTCACAGATGCCACCGTCTTCCTGTTCTCTGTGTCTTCGCCAGGCCTCGGTCAAGAATCCTTCCTCAATAAGTGCTGTAAGGTGCAAATTTACAACATGGCGGACCAAACTTGTGCACTTGTCACCAACATCAGCCTTTACAGCAAAGCCTGCCATGTTTGGCTTGATAATGTCACCCACCCACTCCAAATTGCAGTCTGGGTTGTATTCTTCGTCCAACTGCTTCGTGAGCCAAGTGTCTATTGTTGTCACTGCCAAAGCACATCTCCCATTCCTCAATGATTCATACATTGCCTTCTCATCAACTCGGGGCACCCGCTTTGCCCGTGGGAATGTTTCTAGGATGTGGAAGTCGGAATTGGTATTCTCAAAAGTGCAAACAGGATAGCCATAGACCACAGCTTCCTCCATAGAATCCTCGAAAACTGGATCAACCCTTGCCTCCACAAAAAGTGAGGCAAGATTTGCTGTGTATGTGGCTGTCAAAACCAATGCCCAAATTGTCATGCTGACTCCAAATATTCTTCCTGCAAGACTGCTTGGCGCATACTCAAAGTTCTGGGAGAAATTGATGGCACTGAGATATACATTGTCAGAGAACCATTGGTAGAAAGATCTGTCATCTCTCTCTCCATTAAGGTGCTCAATAAGCTGGTAGACAATTGCAGAAAAGAAAACTGTAAAAACAATCATTCCCCACACAGCAGGCTCAAAAGGCTTGGTCCAGTTGAGCAGATTAATGGCATAAGTGCCACTGTCGTGCCGTCTCTGGTCAATCAAGATGTAGCTGGAATCGTACCAAGGAGCTGTGTATGCCACTCCGTTTTCCATTCTTTCAACTGTGTGATCCCACCATTCAATGGAAATATCATAGTTTTCCACAGTCCAAAGCAACAGTTCCGTCCAGGTCATGTTGTAGACTTCGGGGCTCTCAACGACCCCAAATGAGGTGCGCCAGGTGAAATTGGCTCGTTGGGCAACAGCATCCATCAACTCTGCCAAAATTCCTGGACTGGTACTGGCAATCCCCTCCACTGAGTTGTAGATGAAATATGGGTTCTCAAAGGCTACGAAGGAAGGCCTCAATGCCAGACCTGACAGGGCATCCTTGAGCTCAGTCTCCCCAGCACGGTGTTTTTCGTATCTGTCACAGACATTCTGTCGGAGACTACTGGTAGTGTGGTTGGATGAGGAGGGAGTTGCATTGAAAGCTGGCTTCTCGCCACCAAAACCATTCACAAGGAAGAAACACAGGAACAGACGGACTATCGCCAGCAACACAGATGACCGTCGAACGCGAGTCATGTCAACCTGCTTGTTTTGCAGGACAATCAATGCCCGCACTTTTATTGAACAGAGGTATACCAGAACCACAACTCAAAGCCAGTGCGTTGATCAAGGCTGACTATATAGAAGCTTCGGCAGCTTTCAATGTTTGGATCTCCCGTACGGTATCGGGACGATGGTTGTGCGCTTGGCAGTTCAAGCCATTTCCTCAATTGCGTGTTGTTGTTTGTTGCTGTGGGTCCTCTACGGTACCGGTATTGCAGACCCCCGTGCTAAATAGTGCGGTGCGGTTATTACGTGACTCTCACGGGGGTGGCACAAAACAACTTCCTATTTCCGGCATCGCTTTGGACCACCTGATTGCACGGTTTACCACATTTATACTTTCAAACACATTATTCACCATTTTTACCTACGTTTGACACCCAAAGTTACCACAAACTGTAATTTATCCCTATCTTTCCTCCACCACCCTCCACCCCACGTTCTACCAACTTTTACCACTTACTTGTTTACCATCTTCGACCGACTTCGACCGCTTTCTACCGACTTCGACCGCGCTCCACTCTGTTCTTACGGATCTTCCAAAAACATTGAGGGGGTTGAGGGAAACATTATTCATTCCACAAGAACTGAGGCGGCTCCCTTTTATTACCACCTCTTGCCACCGCTTTATCTTTCAGCGATAGTGCGGGAAAGCTCGAAAAGAGACAACAAGAGTTGGTTTGAGCTATTGAAGTCAGTAGCTCTAAGGGTTTAACTGAGGTTAGAAACAATTAGAGCTATTGGCTTTGGTGTTTCTGTCCCCGAACGGCAGTTGGCATTGGTAATTGCGTTAGAGGATCTGCTGGATCTACATCTAAGTGTTGGTCCCGCGAGCCGGGCAGTCATACTGGTTGGCTTTGTGGGACGTGCTTCTGGTGGATATAAGGGTCAATGTCGCAGTGGGACTGGGACTTTAACATGAGCCACCCTACAATTCCGATTTTGCAGATTTCTCACAATTCCAATTTTCAATGATTTCTAACAATTCCAAACTTTTTGATTTCTCACAAATTCAATTTTGGCCACTTATCACAATTCTTATCCAACTTTCCAATTTCAATTTTGACGATTTCTCCAAATTTCAATTTTACCGATTCCTCACAATTCCAATTTTAATAATGACTTCTCTAAATTCCAATTGGACGATTTTCGGATTCCTCACAAAAATCAATTTTCCGGATTCCAAACAATTCAAATTTTGTTCATTTCTTAGATTTTCTGAATTCTCAGAAGTTTCCAATGTTCCTGGAACATCTGCACCTTCTACAGAAAATTTTTTAAGCTAGTACTATAAAGGTTGAGCCCCCGCAGATTGGGCCCCTTGGGGCCAACCACCAAGCTAGCTAGCTAGCTAGTGGGAGTGGAATACATGTCTTCTGGCTTGCCCTCAAAGCACTGCAGCAGAGCCTCCTGCATCTTCGCTTTGTCTTTGGGATGGACCATCCCAGGACCCTGGCCCAACCCTTCATGTCTGCGAAGCTTGTGGTGGGTCCAACAGCTTGGCTTTGGTCAGACCCTTGCTTTGGAGCAGCCTTTCTCTTGCCAGCGGCATGTTCATTGATCGGCCATCTGAACAAGCTGACCCTTGTCTCTGAGCAAAGCTTTGGCATGCTGGGGCCTCAGCCTACCCCTGAGACCAGCGTTCCCTGCCGCATCATGTTGAAGTGCATTCGATCGAATGATTCAGCAGCCTTGCAAAGGCTCTCACAACAGGAGATGTGACTCCATGGACTGCTCCCTGTGGGAAATGGCGCTGCAGATATTGATCCAATTTCCCCGCCACTAGAGGAGTCCTAGCTTTCACAGAGGCACGTCCTATCTTGCCAACAGCCGCCAAGAACACCATGCCGTTGTCGTCCACCTGGGACCAAGAACACCATGCCGTGTCGTCCACCTTGGGGAACCGTCCACTGGGTACAGGTTCCGGATGTAGGGTCGATACCAGCCGGCGCTCTTTCGTACTCGCACTATCGTCTTCGGAGGATTGCGATGAAAGCGGTATGTCCTCGGCTGCGGTAGTACCTCTGCGGCTACTGAATCTGCGGCTACTGAATGCGTGTAAGTACACCTCTGCGAAGTACCTCTGCGGCTACTGAATACGGAAGGGATGACCTCGGTTTTATTGTTTGCTTCACTATCTCGCTCAAATTCGAAATCCTCTGGCGAAATCCTCTGGATGAAAGCGTTAAGTTCCTCCCACGACTCAGAGTATCCGTGAGTAGATTGATCATGTTTATGAGTCAACACGATGGAACAGAGAACGCTGGCAAGAACACGTTCTCAACGAAACCAAAAAGGACACGGTAAATTGGAGTATTCGCAGGAGTAAAGCATCCTGCAACGAACCGTTTCCCGCAAATACACGTTGACTTCCGTATCAATACCACGATGTATTGATCCAACACGCTACAACAGCGTTACTGATCGCATCAATCAAGCTCACACAAACGTGACGAATAACCGGCAACAAATGCTGACACTCAACGAACAGCAGATATCTATGATGCAATTTACTAACGCACATATGACGCGCACATCGTTCTTGTCATGAAATAGTTGCTCAGTTACTATCACCGTCTCTCGGTGTCGCGAATAGTTGTGTGGACTCGCGTATCGGCTGCTTACAAGACCGGTATGCTACCATCTATTCAAGTAGCTTATACATGATCCCCACGTTATCAAGCTTCAAGCAAGAGTATTATACTAGCTCTCACGCGCTGTAGTACGACAACATGGGACCTAAGCCTCGTGTCAATCTCATTAACGCGACATGTGCGCCCGATCGAACCTTCAAGCATACAAGCCTAGGCGCTCAGCTATGTACCTATGACACCCCTAATGCCGACGGGCGCCGAACGCATAGGCATCAGTCTCTCTATACTTGTTCTCCCTTACTCGCTCTCGAGAAAGATGTGTCTCGTCTCGTGTGTTCTGACGCGAGATGTCCCTCTTCGCGGCTCGCGTTGTTTAGAGGACGAGTGTGCATATCATTCCGTGCCGTCTAGGGTGCCATTGGTTGAGGACTTATGCCTTTTCGGCCAGATGCTCTGTATGAGGTGTTGTGCTCATCAGTGCTTCGAGCCATCTTGATGAAACAGTGCGACTAGTTAATGTTGGCTCCGCAGTAGCCGTGATCTGCGGAACTAGATTAAATCCTACTGTCTTAGACAGTGTAGAGGAAGGAGAATTACTCTTACTGTTGAAGAAGTATAGCTAGACGGCCCGAATACTTCGCTGAGAGAGTCAGTAGACTGCTCTAACACCTAGAGCTCATCAAGACGAGTAGACTATCAACTGGGTCAAACTAATTCCAAGCCAACAGAGGGTCTGTGCACAGCTTCTATAGTAATTCATAAGTCCTCGTAGTATGAGTGCGCGCTCTTTACTGATAATGCGAATAATCTCTGTGTTGTGTAGCTATTACGTGCATGGTTGTAGTGCAGGATCCGTGAGTTTATAGGACTCTTCGATAGCTATTCGTGATTGGCGTGGTTTAGGGTTGTCCAAAATACGGAACGATCATCGTAGCGTAGTTGGGTAATTTGCGGAAGGGGGTACAAACGTTTTGGGAAACGGTTCGTTGGCAGGATGCTTTACTCCTGTCGAATACTCCAATTTACCGTGTCCTTTTTTGGTTTCGTTGAGAACGTGTTCTTGCCAGCGTTCTCTGTTCCATCGTGTTGACTCATAAAACATGACTCAATCTACTCACGGATACTCTGAGTCGTGGGAGGAACTGTAACGCTTTCAATCCAGAGGATTTCGCCAGAGGATTTCGAATTTGAGCGAGATAGTGAAGCAAGACAATAAAACCGAGGTCATCCCTTCCGTATTCAGTAGCCGCAGAGGTACTTCGCAGAGGTGTACTTACCGCATTCAGTAGCCGCAGATTCAGTAGCCGCAGAGGTACTCACCGCAGCCGAGGACATAGCCGCTTTCATCGCAATCCTCCGAAGACGATGAGTGCGAGTACGAAAGAGGCGCCGGCTGGTATCGACCGCTACATCCGGAACCTGTACTCCAGTGGACGGTTCCCCAAGGTGGACGACAACGGCATGGTGTTCTTGGTCCCCAAGGTGGACGACAACGGCATGGTGTTCTTGGCGGCTGTTGGCAAGATAGGACGTGCCTCTGTGAAAGCTAGGACTCCTCTAGTGGCGGGGAAATTGGATCAATATCTGCAGCGCCATTTCCCACAGGGAGCAGTCCATGGAGTCACATCTCCTGTTGTGAGAGCCTTTGCAAGGCTGCTGAATCATTCGATCGAATGCACTTCAACATGATGCGGCAGGGCAACGCTGGTCTCAGGGGTAGGCTGAGGCCCCAGCATGCCAAAGCTTTGCTCAGAGACAAGGGTCAGCTTGTTCAGATGGCCAGGATCAATGAACATGCCGCTGGCAAGAGAAAGGCTGCTCCAAAGCAAGGTGGTCTGACCAAAGCCAAGCTGTTGGACCCACACACAAGCTTCGCAGACATGAAGGGTTGGGCCAGGGTCCTGGGATGGTCCATCCCAAAGACAAAGTCGAAGATGCAGGAGGCTCTGCTGCAGTGCTTTGAGGGCAAGCCAGAAGACCATGTATTCCACTCCCACTAGCTAGCTAGCTAGCTTGGTGGTTGGGCCCCAAGGGGCCCAATCTGCGGGGGCTCAACCTTTATAGTACTAGCTTAAAAAATTTTCTGTAGAAGGTGCAGATGTTCCAGGAACATTGGAAACTTCTGAGAATTCAGAAAATCTAAGAAATGAACAAAATTTGAATTGTTTGGAATCCGGAAAATTGATTTTTGTGAGGAATCCGAAAATCGTCCAATTGGAATTTAGAGAAGTCATTATTAAAATTGGAATTGTGAGGAATCGGTAAAATTGAAATTTGGAGAAATCGTCAAAATTGAAATTGGAAAGTTGGATAAGAATTGTGATAAGTGGCCAAAATTGAATTTGTGAGAAATCAAAAAGTTTGGAATTGTTAGAAATCATTGAAAATTGGAATTGTGAGAAATCTGCAAAATCGGAATTGTAGGGTGGCTCATGTTAAAGTCCCAGTCCCACTGCGACATTGACCCTTATATCCACCAGAAGCACGTCCCACAAAGCCAACCAGTATGACTGCCCGGCTCGCGGGACCAACACTTAGATGTAGATCCAGCAGATCCTCTAACAGCAATTACCAATGCCAACTGCCGTTCGGGGACAGAAACCACCAAAGCCAATAGCTCATAATTGTTTCTAACCTCCAGTTAAACCCTTAGAGCTACTGACTTCAATAGCTCAAACCAACTCTTGTTGTCTCTTTTCGAGCTTTCCCGCACTATCGCTGAAAGATAAAGCGGTGGCAAGAGGTGGTAATAAAAGGGAGCCGCCTCAGTTCTTGTGGAATGAATAATGTTTCCCTCAACCCCCTCAATGTTTTTGGAAGATCCGTAAGAACAGAGTGGAGCGCGGTCGAAGTCGGTAGAAAGCGGTCGAAGTCGGTCGAAGATGGTAAACAAGTAAGTGGTAAAAGTTGGTAGAACGTGGGGTGGAGGGTGGTGGAGGAAAGATAGGGATAAATTACAGTTTGTGGTAACTTTGGGTGTCAAACGTAGGTAAAAATGGTGAATAATGTGTTTGAAAGTATAAATGTGGTAAACCGTGCAATCAGGTGGTCCAAAGCGATGCCGGAAATAGGAAGTTGTTTTGTGCCACCCCCGTGAGAGTCACGTAATAACCGCACCGCACTATTTAGCACGGGGGTCTGCAATACCGGTACCGTAGAGGACCCACAGCAACAAACAACAACACGCAATTGAGGAAATGGCTTGAACTGCCAAGCGCACAACCATCGTCCCGATACCGTACGGGAGATCCAAACATTGAAAGCTGCCGAAGCTTCTATATAGTCAGCCTTGATCAACGCACTGGCTTTGAGTTGTGGTTCTGGTATACCTCTGTTCAATAAAAGTGCGGGCATTGATTGTCCTGCAAAACAAGCAGGTTGACATGACTCGCGTTCGACGGTCATCTGTGTTGCTGGCGATAGTCCGTCTGTTCCTGTGTTTCTTCCTTGTGAATGGTTTTGGTGGCGAGAAGCCAGCTTTCAATGCAACTCCCTCCTCATCCAACCACACTACCAGTAGTCTCCGACAGAATGTCTGTGACAGATACGAAAAACACCGTGCTGGGGAGACTGAGCTCAAGGATGCCCTGTCAGGTCTGGCATTGAGGCCTTCCTTCGTAGCCTTTGAGAACCCATATTTCATCTACAACTCAGTGGAGGGGATTGCCAGTACCAGTCCAGGAATTTTGGCAGAGTTGATGGATGCTGTTGCCCAACGAGCCAATTTCACCTGGCGCACCTCATTTGGGGTCGTTGAGAGCCCCGAAGTCTACAACATGACCTGGACGGAACTGTTGCTTTGGACTGTGGAAAACTATGATATTTCCATTGAATGGTGGGATCACACAGTTGAAAGAATGGAAAACGGAGTGGCATACACAGCTCCTTGGTACGATTCCAGCTACATCTTGATTGACCAGAGACGGCACGACAGTGGCACTTATGCCATTAATCTGCTCAACTGGACCAAGCCTTTTGAGCCTGCTGTGTGGGGAATGATTGTTTTTACAGTTTTCTTTTCTGCAATTGTCTACCAGCTTATTGAGCACCTTAATGGAGAGAGAGATGACAGATCTTTCTACCAATGGTTCTCTGACAATGTATATCTCAGTGCCATCAATTTCTCCCAGAACTTTGAGTATGCGCCAAGCAGTCTTGCAGGAAGAATATTTGGAGTCAGCATGACAATTTGGGCATTGGTTTTGACAGCCACATACACAGCAAATCTTGCCTCACTTTTTGTGGAGGCAAGGGTTGATCCAGTTTTCGAGGATTCTATGGAGGAAGCTGTGGTCTATGGCTATCCTGTTTGCACTTTTGAGAATACCAATTCCGACTTCCACATCCTAGAAACATTCCCACGGGCAAAGCGGGTGCCCCGAGTTGATGAGAAGGCAATGTATGAATCATTGAGGAATGGGAGATGTGCTTTGGCAGTGACAACAATAGACACTTGGCTCACGAAGCAGTTGGACGAAGAATACAACCCAGACTGCAATTTGGAGTGGGTGGGTGACATTATCAAGCCAAACATGGCAGGCTTTGCTGTAAAGGCTGATGTTGGTGACAAGTGCACAAGTTTGGTCCGCCATGTTGTAAATTTGCACCTTACAGCACTTATTGAGGAAGGATTCTTGACCGAGGCCTGGCGAAGACACAGAGAACAGGAAGACGGTGGCATCTGTGAGTACGAGGAAGATGAGCAAGGCCAGTGGGATCGACGTCTTCAGTCTAGGAGAAACCAGCCGACAATGAAACCTCGAGATGGTGACGGACCAAGACATCGACAACTAAAGGCTGGTGGGAGGGGAGCGGGCGGGTCAACAGCAGAAGATGACGACATCGATGCAGAAACGCTGACACTTCGGCAGATGGCTGGAACCTTCATAATTCATTATGGAGCCATGGCTGTTGCTGTATTGGTGAGTTTTCTGACCCACTATGCACAGAAGATGAATTGGTTTCATAGGGAGGGTCAGGTGTATGAAAAGGTGACAAACAGGACAAATGGACCAGTGATTGGAATGCCACCACGGGCCAATACTTTTGTGGTCCGAGATTGTAAGGAGGAATCCGCAAGAGATGGTGTCAAGGCGGATTCTGCAAGCAATGTCGAGGAAAATTGTGACGATAGCGAGGAAAATTGTGACGATAGCGAAAATCCTCGTGCTGTGGTTCCGGCAGAGTTCAACTACGTGGAAATGGTTGCCAAGCAAAACGCTCTGGAAGCTAAAATTGACAGAATGGAAAGGGCTCTGGATACGCAGAGCTACATGATTCGACAGCTCCTTCACGGACCTCGTAAAGACAAGATGGAGCACTTGGCGTGACAGGGATGGGTTTGGATCGATAACTGATTCCATGAATTGTTGCTATATGTAGATTACTGTTTTCTTGACCAGGTGGCTGATCTCGATCATCATGCTTCCCCCTGGCGCTGTATCGGCACGACGACACTCATCGATTTGGTTATGGTTGCTCCGAGTTTGCTGCAGTTTTTTGTGTGTATTTTTAAAAATAAGCAGGCATTGCTTATAGTTAATTTGTATAGATTCTAAATTCCTTCTACCTCCTCACTTTCAATTTGTGCTTCCTGCATTCATTCATTATTGATTCATAAAGTCATTCGCTCTACTGTATCATTCATTCATTCATTCATTCATTCGTTTCTATCACTGTATCCACAATTTATCAATGGACGCACAGAATTCATCAAAATCGACCGTTCCATTTCCATCGCTATCGACGGCTCGAATCATGAGATTGGTATCGGCCATGCTAATTTCCGTGCCTGTGGCGGCTCGCAAGGCGACTTGTAATTCCACGGCATCGAGTTGTCCATCGCCACTGGTATCCATGCGTTGAAAGAGTTGCCACAATCGTTTGCGTCGTTCTTTGCCACAGACAATACTCATACTTGTACTAGTGCCAGCACCAAAGACTTCTTTGGAAATGAATTCTTGTCGAATCAGAGTAATCCGGACACGGGTGCGAATCATGGACAAGAGTGTGGCCAATGTGTAGAGAATCAAGTGGCCGCTTAAGTAGGGTAGCAAGACAAACTTCCAGGGGAATACGTCGTCTGCTGTGGACTCGGATAGTGGCTGACCATTACTGCTAGTAGTGTCGGTGATATTGCTGTTGGTGTCGTTGTCGTTGTCATTGCTGCTGCTCATGAAATAATATTGATTGATCATGAATGTGGTGGGGATCATAGTCGTCCAACCTCCCGAGTCGTCGGCTACCGTCATGGCGAGTGTATTGGCGGCCGACCAGAGTCCTCCTTGCAACTTCCAGTACAAGACGGTGACAAATAGGAATACATGTCGGGTATAGTGACCACAAAGCGTGGGTACAAAGTGGAGTGTGATTCCTGTCACCAACCCCATGATACTGGATTGCCAAAACGCTCGCAACGACGGTGGATTCTCATTGAAGAAAAACTTGATGGAACTGGAGACCAAACAACTGTGCGTGAGGGCAAAAGCAGGAAACGTGACGCTCCAATATTGCAGCAATGCCAGACTGCCGGCACATCCCAGCGCTGCCAAAAAGGCATCGACACGGTTGGATTTCAACGAGAGAACGGCCGTATGACGGAAACTGTCCAATGCTCGTTGGGTCAAACTGTGTTCGCTGTCGCTGGCTTCGCTGAGCGTTGAAGATCGTCGACGTTTCTGAACCACTCCCTTGGCCATCAGGGACGCCTTTCGTTGCTTGGCGTACTTGACGTGCTTGTCGTCATCGTCGTCATCATCTTCTTGTTCCAGAGCACCCACTTCGTCCTCCTCTTCGGCTGCTGCATCATAACTCTCGCTTAGTTCGTGCAGCTCATCGTCGTCCATCAAGATCGATGTACGCCGACGGCGGCGACGGATGGGAGACTCATCTTCGTCTTTTGGCATGGTGGTGCTACTACGATACTGTAGTGCTCTACCGGTACACAAAAAAGAGTGAGAAGTTATTTGGATTGTGTCCTTCTAAAGTTTCGAAGAAACCTATCTTTGCAATAGACAGATAAGACCGGTGGCAACTCCGTTTGTTGAATGGTACCACTTCGTTGAATCTTTGGTGGCGTCAACTTTGAGGGTGACGTCTACTGTCGGAAGTTCATCGTGGAATAGAGCTTGCGCGCCGTGGAATCTCGAGCAACCGACAACAGCTGTAAAAAGATCTTTCCAACCAGTGACTATCGATACTATCGGTACACCCCACAACAAATAGATTGTAGAGAGTCCTGGGAATTCAATCAGCATCATCGATTAGTATTGGGGAACTGCCCCTTGGCTAACTCCTCGCACCGATACTTGTAGCGCTTGCCTCTCTTCCAAGGTTCTCAAGGACAGGCATGGCAACCGCCTTCCGAGATGTCGCTGTGGGTGATATGAAAACAGTAATCATGTCTAGCAAGACTTTCCCCTCAAGAAGACTGAAAATTCTAGGAAGTCGCACGAAGCGCGACTTGTCGCGACTGGATTAGGCCGCCGGCAGGCGGCCAGACCGCGATTTCCCAAAGGAATCGCGACAGGACTTAGAGGAAACTCTCCACCACAATGAACCGGTACTCGCTACGTAAATACTCTGATCTACACTTATGACTCTGAATCCTATCAGTTCTGTCTGGTGCAATCGTGACTCCGGTGCGTCGCGACCAGAGTGCAAACGGTCAAAGATGATCATCGGACCACAAGAGGAGACCACAATTGATGAAGATCGTGATAGATCTATCTCTACCGCTACAGTCTCTACTGCTATCGCTACCACTACTGTTACGAGGTACGTCTAAAATCAAGTGCGCTCTTATTGAATGTGCAACACAGACTTTCCCTCATTGAATTTCTGTGGATTTTAGGCTCGATGTAGTTCCTTCGCTGAATATGAAGAGTTCCTGATGCTTTGTTGAAACTCACTACCTTGAAAGGGCCAACGTTGAGTTGCATCTTCGGATCCATCGAACTGCTCTTGATCAGAA